GGGGGGGGGGGGGGGGGGGGGGGGGGGAAGAGAGAGAGAAAGCGAGAGAGACCTCAACTTGACGTTGTAAAGACTGGATGTAATTAATTATTTCATCAAGGACCAGTGATTTGCCAATAACCTGAATCCAAAGAAACCCCTCTCATATTTCTTCATAAAAATTTACCAGGCACCAAAACACTAAATTTTATTTGTAAAATATGAACAAAATAAATAAGCTGGCTTCTGTACTGAAACCCAAATCTCATCGAATTACTAGAATGAGAAATTCACTCAAGTTGGTATTATGTCTCCGGATGTTGCACAAGAACTTACCAAGATTTATATTCTATATCAGCAACAACTTCTACTGCCTAAGAGTAAGCTCCTTCACTTAGAGTAAGCTCCTTCACTTGGATTGTCAGATTCAATTTTTTTAAACATTCCCAAAAGTGCTGATTGCTTTGGATGAAGATTAGTTACTTTATATACAACACAAAATACATTAAGTTCTTTCAGAAGTCATACTTAGAATTCCAATTGCACAGGAACAGTTTAGGTGGATTTTTGTGTATCGTGTATGTGTGTGTGATACTTTCAAGGGGGTTTGCTCCTAGAGAACCTCCTGGCTAGGAGAAACAAAATAAGCCTTACCCTCCCCTCAAAGCACACAGCGCGTGATGAACCGATTTTCCTTTCAGAAAATTGAAAGGAAGTTAATGAACACAGAATACATGACTTCATAATAATTATCTCAAATAAAGGAACAGCAGAATTTTCCCTTGTAACATGGCAAGATAACCACTGCCATGTAGGCCCAAATCATTAAAAAGTGAAAAACAGAATCAAACAAGAATTAGTTTGTTGATAACGATCACACCAATCAAAAGATGATATGCGGATGGAAGGTGCTATAACATAAATCCTCACCATCAGCAAGCAATGCGTGTACAGGGGGTCGTCAAAGACCCAATTTTCCCTTAATTTTTCCTATTAATACTTATGCAACGTGTAGGAAAATATATGATATCAAAACCCTAACCAAATCAACATGATTGTTGGAGTGCAAATGGCGGCCGGATAACCTTCTTGGGACAAAATGGAGGACACTACAAAAATGGCTATATGGCCAAGACTCAGGTGCATGTATGAAAACATTTCATGATCCCACACAAACATTTTCCACTGTGAATATAAAGCATAGAAGGCAACCGAAAATGGCAGGCTGCAAATAATTCAAAATGTCAACTGTAAAGGAGTCATAATTGGCCATAAGTTCTAAGTAGATGTAGAATATTTTCATCAAAATAAAATTGAAACGAGGCCAGTAGCTGGTTTTTGTTTTCAAATAAATATATGGCACATCGAGGAGTTGCACAAGAAAATCATTGAGATTACATATATTCCAATAGATAATAGAGCAGGGAGAAAAAAGGGAAATCATTCAAGCAAAATAATCAGTGTTACTTAAGGAGACAATAAAGCCAGAGAAATGTTAATGCTCACTTTATTACATCCAGGGACAAGATCTTGGAGAATTTTCATCCTCTCGTTTATTTTTTCCCTCCTTGCCTGCACAAAGGGGAAATTAAGAAAAGTCATTTGGCATGGATTTCCATGATCTGCTATTTATTCATCAATCATAAATACACTGTCATGGTAACGTAATTACTTTCTTAATTGATAATTATCATACAGTTGAACAACAGAAAATTACATCTTGAAAAAAAAAAAATAATAAAGTAAAATAAAATAAAAGGGGAGAGTAAAGAAATTACTCTTTCAGCTAAACTGTGACTATCAGTGGCTTGACCTCTTCTAGCGCGAACGTGGATGTAGTCTTGCTTTGGAGGTTCGGCCAATTTTGTAGGCTGCTCTGCCTCCTCGCCTGAATTCCCTTCTTCTTCTGCTTTATTTTCACAATTTTCATTCGATCTCAACGTCTTTAACCGTTTATTATTTCCTTCATTCTGCACAACACCAAAAATCCATACGGAACATAAAACAAAAATGAAAGGAATTACCAAAAAGTAAATAAATAAATAAAAAGTTAACTCCATCACAGTAAAACACAAAATAAAAAAATAAAAAATAAAAAATTTGCTCATGCGTGTCTATTTTTGTGTCCCTTTCAATACATGTACATATACAGTCATGCGCAAATAGCAAAAAGCATGAGAATTCAAAAGATCAAAATTATTAGAAAGTCTGTCCAAACTCATATTGTAAACCTCACAATCATTTACCCGGATACCAAAACAACCACGAATCCGAATTCAGTTAGTGACTACAGAATACACCGATTCTCTCGCCTGAAGATTTCTTTTAGAAATTCGTTCTTTTGAATATAAATTTCATTTTCAAATAAATATATTTTGGTCAGACGAATAAATATAACTTAACATTTATTGTAAAGGAACTAATGGAAGTATGTTGTAAATTTACACAAAAATTGAGTTAAATTCTCAGACAAGAATTTACCACGGCATTATTACTATTATTGCCATCGCTGTTGCTACTGGAAGCTCCTTTAACACGCTCATCCCTGTCGCGCCGCTTTCTCGAATTAATATTCGATCTGTGGTCAGTCATCATTAGATCCATACCCACATTTCCATACGACGTCGCATTAGCAAACCCCGGCCATATCTCGCCATAGCTGTACATTCCTCTTCCGCCGTCATTCATCATCGGATCCATCCGAAACCCGACCCGAATCACAGTGGTGAAGTGATCATGTAATTACAGAAAGAAATGTGTGCGTATCGATCGATATATAGGAATGTATATGTATAGGTGGCTGGGGGACAGGGGAGTATAGATCTCCTTTCAAACGGTGGAGGTTGTTGGGTTCGTACTATACCAACTGGCGTACACTAGCCACCACCACCGTTCTCTCACTACTGATTTTTGCCAGAGACAGAGAGAGAAAGAGAAACTCTTTGGGAGTCGTAAACAAGTGACTTTGAGTGAGCTTTTATCGGCGCATCCACCGATCATTGTCTTGATGGCAAATAATCATACTCTACCGCTGGTTCCTGTAGACCGGATCATTTAAGCCGCTAGACCCTTCTCCAATAAAAATTTATTTTCCTCCAAACTATTTTTATTACGTTTTTCAATAAAATAATTTTACATGTCAATTCACACTTTACCTAATTTTTTATCACGCAAATTTTCAAAAAAACACCATTGCAAAACCTATTTTTCTAACATAAATAGAGCTCAAACACACCATTAAATTAATCAACCTCTAGTATGTGTGAAATTCTTAATATTGTCAATTATGCAATTCACTTTAACCAGGATTTGGGGGGACTGGAACGAACTGTAGTAGTGATGGGGAAAAAACTCGTCCCGTCCCGCTCCGAATGAGGCAAAAAAGCCCATCCCGAACGAATTGGCTCGACGGGGCGGGGCGGGGCGGGGCGGGGCAGCGTCATGGTGCGGGGTGGGACAAGGATACCCTGTCCCTTGAAAGAAAAAAAGATTAAAAATAATTTTATTTTTAAACAATTCACCTGTTAAAAGTCCATTTTGAATTTGTATTTTATTCTCTAATAATGATGTAATTCAAAATTTTGAAAATGTAAAAAATAATATATATACATATATATATATATATATATATATATATATAAACGGGGCACCCTGCCCTACCCCGCTTAATAAGGTGGAGCGTGGTTTGAGCGAGACGGGGTGAAGGCGTCCCGCCTCGTTGCCATCGCTAGACTGTAGCCTCCCCCACTCAACTCCAAGAAGTGTTTTTAAAGGTTTTTTTTTTTTTAATAAAAAACCAATTTTTATGCGTAAAAAAAAAAAAATAAATAAATAGCGTATTAACTCGATTTTGGATCCAATCCTTGACCCGTCCCTGACTTTAACATAGATTGATAATGATGGAAATAAGTTTAGATGAACTTATCTCATTGCAAGAAGACATTTTATTTTACAAAATATGACTAGACATATGGCTCATATTGACAAAATCATTGCAAACGATTTTATTTATAAAGACAATATATGTCACTTTATGATTATCACTTATGTTTTTAACTAGCTCAAACTCGAAGCTCTAACTTCAGGTATATCACAGCAATGTTGAGTACTAGAGAGGTTCACTCGGTCATGATTTGACCTTGGTGCAAAATGAAGTCCTTGACAATGTGCTTCATAATGCGACGTGGGTGATCTTCTAAAAATGACATTTTCAACAGCTACATAATGGTTTGAACTAATGCTACTCAACTCAAGGTTCAAAATGTTCAGCACATCATGTCAATGCATTAAATAATACGATACAATATTTGGATGTACTAATTCCCATTTCTAATCGTGCTACCCCGCCAATAACCTTTTATCATAAACTCGAGCTAATTCAAAAGTCAAGATTTAGGGCCCGTTTGGTAGGGATTTTGAGAATTGATTTTTTGACCGTTAGAAGAAAAGTGGGGTCCACATGTGAGAGAAAAAGTCAAAAATTACGGCTTGAATAGTAAAATAACGATCAAAAAATCAATTTTTTGGAGCAAAAAATCCCTACCAAACGGGGCCTTAATAACATGTCCTTAGAAACGTAATGTATTCAAACTCATTCAACTTGAACGATACTGACAGAATGATAAAAAGAGGGAAAAAAAAAAAAAAGAATTTCAACTACTATTTTACGTAATGTTGTTTAATAACACGCACCAAATATGTCTCGAAATGGTTGTCGACTTCAATGCAATTAGACAACATAATTTATTGGAGTCTATTTCCGGAAAGATTAGTGATAATGATAGTTTTGGGTTTTGGATCGACAATGAATGTGCCATCACATTGATGGGCCCACATTTTTAGATTGATGGTTCAAGTTTCAACATATGCCCCTGTTTGATTCCCATTACGTAGGAAAATTAATGAGGGGAATAGTACTTTTTTGAAAAATGAATGCTTGAAAAAAAATGAAAAGTTTTCGATTTACGTATAATATTATTTTATGAAAGATTGTGTGGTTGAAAATAGGAGAGAGAAAAATGAAATATAATAGAATTTAATGTAATGGGGATCAAACAGGGGCATAAGATATACCCAACCAACATGATTTATTTATTTGCGTATTTTAGTCATTTTAGTAAACTCAAAAAGTGACGTTCATCAAACATAAATGTCTCTTAAATATATCAATAATGCTAATTACGAATTGTTACAAATTATGCTATTTTTTGGGTTTATTTTTGAGGTTTTGGAAACAATGTATTCTAAAATATTAATTTTTGGAGAATGTGTGATTAAAAGATAATAAAAAAAGTTTATTTATAACTTTCTTTTAGTAAAAAATGTATGATTAAAAATGAAAAAAGAGAAAAATCCATTAAATTCAAATGGACCTCAAACAGGGACGATATGTTAACAAAAAATATTTATAAACAAAATAACATGGCCCACAAACTGGACATGTAACAGCGTCTTTAAAAGACTCTTTATTTATAAAATGTAACTTATACATAATAGAAAATATCTTTAAATTCTGAAAATAATTTTTTTTATTCATTCCAACAAGCTCTTTATTTTGATTCTTTATTTCATTTTTTCTAATGAACATTTAATAATATCTCTTCATATTTTATTTAAATATAAATTTCTTTATATGTTAATGACCAATAAATTTAAATGTAATTTAAATAATTTAAATTGTAAAGTACTGAAAATTGTAACGTATTAAATGTAAACATTGCACATTAAGAATAAAAAGTAAGTTTAACTCCCTAAATTTGGAGAGTCAAGCCCACTTTTTTTTTAAAATAGAGAGTTTTTGAAGTTCATTTTTTAGTAGTAACTCTAAAATAGAGATTATTTTGTGTTTAAAGAATTTCTAGGAGATACTATAAATAGATAAATTGTCTGGCATGAAAATAGATTTCAATAGTTAAACATGTCAATATGATCGATGATAACTCCCTCGATGGAAGTTGCCATTCTTATCATTTATGATGATCAATGTAATATAAATTCGCAATAATTTTGGACTTGATAAGAATATAATATTTATCATATTCATTTTTATAAAAAAAATATTATATATATATTTTATGACACATATTATTAGATAGTACATTACAATATCTTAACACGTAATTTACCTTAGACAACGCTAGTTGAAATAAATGATGCTGCAAATGCCAAGGCTGGTCAGGTACAATTCTTCGTCGCTATCTTCAAATAACAAGTCCACGCTCAACAATAAATTAATAAAAACTAAGTAAAAATAATTAAGGAAACATCAAAATATTTAATTAAAGAGGAAAGTAAAGTAACTTTTGATTCTGACCAGATTTTCTATCCATTGATTTCTGTTGTTTATTTATCATAGTTAATACGGACACGTAATTATAACGTATAGAACTACGATTTTTTTTGGAAAATTTTATGTGTACAAAATTTCCTCCTACAGAAGTTTTTCAGATATTCACATGGGAAATGGGCCCCATGTGAATAAAATAATCCAAAAAATAACTCACCCACCCCATACTGTGTGTATTTTGTAAAGAATTTGTAAAAAATTGTTGAGTATTCAAGTGTATGTTTCATACACTTGAATTTGGTTGATTTTACCTGCAACAATTTCCTAAATTGATTTCTTTTTTCTATAATTAGAAAATGCAATAAAGTTGGCCAATACCAACATGCATTAACTCTTTCAAAGGGACGGCAAGAACGAGGTGAAAGCTCCTTAATCTGTCCTCGTACCAAACTTCCCACAGTATATCTAATTTAGTTAGACATCTATGACCACCATAAAGGGCATTGCCAACTTAAAACAATATTAATTTATGACATTCGAACCATCCTTATTTAATTCACCATTGGATGATATAGACATTTCGGTTATGTTATACTTAGTTGTAAATATGTTTTTACGCATTGTCTTGTCCAAATTAATGTACTAAATATGACGATAATGTAAAAGTGTGTTACATTCAGAATCTGAAAGTTATTTTGTTGAATGTATGCAGCCAAACTTATTCATCTTTTTCCCTTCAACTGCAGATCAATGGGAAGCAATAGCTCCTTAGATGAAATGTTAACGTTAAACTATATGTTGAGGTAGTGCGCATATGTATAAGGTTGTTCTAAATTTTTCTTGTATGTATTAAGCCTATATTTGGTTCGACTAAAAAAATATTAAAATTTAAGTCAGAGTCAATAATGAATTTTAATCACACAAGACACATAACTTTTTAACCACGTGTTCCATCATTTTTTTTTTTTTATCAAAATCTACTAAAAATCTGATTTTTATCTAAATTAAATAGGGATTAAGGATTTTAGGTCAAGCCTTTTTCTCAAAAGGATATGCGTGATTTTCAGTATAAACTGTAACCTTTTTCTTCCTCGTTCTAGTGAAACTTTGTAGTGACGAGTGATTGTAGTTCTTACATTAAAAGTAATAATCTAAATTATATTTTTTTTCCTTTGATTCTATTTTGTATATCATGCCATTATTACTTTTAGTAGTATAGTATTAGACTTGTAATGAATAACATATTTACTCGAAAATATTATACATCTAAATTGTTAGCATTTAACCGCATGCCATGTGAGAAATTGCTTAAACTAGCAATGCAAATGGTGTACGTAAAAAATTACGGGCAGATTATGCAAGATTTCCATGGCACTTTATTGTCGGAGTCTTGTATTTTGATCAGGTAATTAATTTAAGAGAATTTTGCATAGATGTCCCTATATTATTAATTGCAAAAATAATTATCACTTTTTCAAAAGGTGCTCAAAAATATCTTTTTTTTGTGTGAAATGTTCAAATTATCCTTGTAGATACCTTGTTGGTTACATGTTAACTAATGCAATGATTTGATATTTGACTTGCGTAAGAAAAACCAATGACTGAGCCTCATTAAAGTTTAAATAATGAATTCTGAAATAATAATTTGATAGAGAATGTATGGTTAAAAATAAGAAAAAATTTTGAATTTACGTATAATATTATTTTTATTGAAGAACGTATTGTTAAAAAGAAAAGAGAAAAATGTATTTTGAAAAGAAAGAAT